AAACTAGGTTCACCGGGGGAAGGAGACCAAAGCCCTGAGGTAAGTGGGAAAGCGGGATACCGGGAGGAAGCACAGGCAGGAATGTCTGTGAGGGGAGGGCTCCTGCCTCATACTGGGAATGAGGGGCGATCAACAGGTTATCTCAAGTGCTTATATACAAATGCACAAAGCCTTGGAAACAAGCAGGGGGAACTGGAGGTCCTGGTGATGTCAAGGAACTATGACGTGATCGGAATAACAGAGACTTGGTGGGATAACTCACATGACTGGAGTACTGTCATGAATGGTTATAAACTGTTCAGGAAGGACAGGCAGGGCAGAAAAGGTGGGGGAGTAGCACTGTATGTAAGGGAGCAGTATGACTGCTCAGAGCTCCGGTACGAAACTGCAGAAAAACCTGAGTGTCTCTGGATTAAGTTTAGAAGTGTGTGCAACAAGAGTGATGTAGTGGTGGGAGTCTGCTATAGACCACCGGACCAGGGGGATGAGGTAGATGAGGCTTTCTTCCGGCAGCTCACAGAAGCTACTAGATCGCATGCCCTGATTCTCATGGGTGACTTTAATTTTCCTGATATCTGCTGGGAGAGCAATACAGCGGTGCATAGACAATCCAGGAAGTTTTTGGAAAGCGTAGGGGACAATTTCCTGGCGCAAGTGCTAGAGGAGCCAACTAGGGGGGGCGCTTTTCTTGACCTGCTGCTCACAAACCAGGTAGAATTAGTGGGGGAAGCAAAAGTGGATGGGAATCTGGGAGGCAGTGACCATGAGTTGGTTGAGTTCAGGATCCTGACGCAGGGAAGAAAGGTAAGCAGCAGGATACGAACCCTGGACTTCAGGAAAGCAGACTTCGACTCCCTCAGGGAACGGATGGCCAGGATCCCCTGGGGGACTTACTTGAAGGGGAAAGGAGTCCAGGAGAGCTGGCTGTATTTCAAGGAATCCCTGTTGAGTTTACAGGGACAAACCATCCCGATGAGTCGAAAGAATAGTAAATATGGCAGGCGACCAGCTTGGCTTAATGGTGAAATCCTAGCGGATCTTAAACATAAAAAAGAGGCTTACAAGAAGTGGAAGATTGGACATATGACCAGGGAAGAGTATAAAAATATTGCTCGGGCATGTAGGAATGATATCAGGAGGGCCAAATCGCACCTGGAGCTGCAGCTAGCCAGAGATGTCAAGAGTAACAAGAAGGGTTTCTTCAGGTATGTTGGCAACAAGAAGAAAGCCAAGGAAAGTGTGGGCCCCTTACTGAATGAGGGAGGCAACCTAGTGACAGAGGATGTGGAAAAAGCTAATGTACTCAATGCTTTTTTTGCCTCTGTTTTCACTAACAAGGTCAGCTCCCAGACTGCTGCGCTGGGCATCGCAAAATGGGGAAGAGATGGCCAGCCCTCTGTGGAGATAGAGGTGGTTAGGGACTATTTAGAAAAGCTGGACGTGCACAAGTCCATGGGGCCGGACGAGTTGCATCCGAGAGTGCTGAAGGAATTGGCGGCTGTGATTGCAGAGCCATTGGCCATTATCTTTGAAAACTCGTGGCGAACGGGGGAAGTCCCGGATAACTGGAAAAAGGCTAATGTAGTGCCAATCTTTAAAAAAGGGAAGAAGGAGGATCCTGGGAACTACAGGCCAGTCAGCCTCACCTCAGTCCCTGGAAAAATCATGGAGCAGGTCCTCAAAGAATCAATCCTGAAGCACTTGCATGAGAGGAAAGTGATCAGGAACAGCCAACATGGATTCACCAAGGGAAGGTCATGCCTGACTAATCTAATCGCCTTTTATGATGAGATTACTGGTTCTGTGGATGAAGGGAAAGCAGTGGATGTATTGTTTCTTGACTTTAGCAAAGCTTTTGACACGGTCTCCCACAGTATTCTTGTCAGCAAGTTAAGGAAGTATGGGCTGGAAGAATGCACTATAAGGTGGGTAGAAAGCTGGCTAGATTGTCGGGCTCAACGGGTAGTTATCAATGGTTCCATGTCTAGCTGGCAGCCGGTATCAAGTGGAGTGCCCCAAGGGTCGGTCCTGGGGCCGGTTTTGTTCAATATCTTCATAAATGATCTGGAGGATGGTGTGGATTGCACTCTCAGGAAATTTGCGGATGATACTAAACTGGGAGGAGTGGTAGATACGCTGGAGGGGAGGGATAGGATACAGAAGGACCTAGACAAATTGGAGGATTGGGCCAAAAGAAATCTGATGAGGTTCAATAAGGATAAGTGCAGGGTCCTGCACTTAGGACGGAAGAACCCAATGCACAGCTACAGACTAGGGACCGAATGGCTAGGCAGCAGTTCTGCGGAAAAGGACCTAGGGGTGACAGTGGACGAGAAGCTGGATATGAGTCAGCAGTGTGCCCTTGTTGCCAAGAAGGCCAATGGCATTTTGGGATGTATAAGTAGGGGCGTAGCGAGCAGATCGAGGGACGTGATCGTTCCCCTCTATTCGACATTGGTGAGGCCTCATCTGGAGTACTGTGTCCAGTTTTGGGCCCCACACTTCAAGAAGGATGTGGATAAATTGGAGAGAGTCCAGCGAAGGGCAACAAAAATGATTAGGGGTCTGGAACACATGAGTTATGAGGAGAGGCTGAGGGAGCTGGGATTGTTTAGCCTGCAGAAGAGAAGAATGAGGGGGGATTTGATAGCTGCTTTCAACTACCTGAAAGGGGGTTCCAAAGAGGATGGCTCTAGACTGTTCTCAATGGTAGCAGATGACAGAACGAGGAGTAATGGTCTCAAGTTGCAGTGGGGGAGGTTTAGATTGGATATTAGGAAAAACTTTTTCACTAAGAGGGTGGTGAAACACTGGAATGCGTTACCTAGGGAGGTGGTGGAATCTCCTTCCTTAGAGGTTTTTAAGGTCAGGCTTGACAAAGCCCTGGCTGGGATGATTTAACTGGGATTTGGTCCTGCTTCGAGCAGGGGGTTGGACTAGATGACCTTCTGGGGTCCCTTCCAACCCTTATATTCTATGATTCTATGATTCTATGATTCCATCTAGTAAAGGACACTGGTTCATTACAATGTCTCGATAAACCATTTATTCTTATGTCAGCTTTTCAGTGCACCAGAAACAGTGCAAGAGGTGCAAAAGGTCTTTTTTTTTACATTACCTTTAAACTAAAAAAAAAGTGATGTTTAATTTTGCAAAGAAATAAAGACATTTCATAGCATGGTACATCAGCCATAGTGTAACATTTGAAAAGGAAAGCTCAGCAATAATTTTTAGAAAAATCAGAATTCAGACACCTGTAGTGTTAGCAAGGAGTAACATTCACATTACTGTAAACATAGCAAGAAAAACAAAAGTGCTGTGAAGAATTAAATGGATTTGTCATTGAAAACTTAAATGAGAGAGAAACTCCTCCACACACTATTGTATGTGCGTTACAAATCAGTATTTATCTTTTACACAATCAGCTTGGATACCCTACGTAAAATAGTCAGAAAACATGAAAGAATAGCAAACATATCAAAAGTTTACATATTTTTGTGCTTATTTATTGATTTACAAAAAATAAATCAATTTTTGAATCATCACCATTGATTAAATAAAAACCTATATTCAGCATGTTGACTATACCCAGATTTTCTCTCATGCTGTCAAGTATATTTTTATAATAAATGTTTTAAAAATACTGTACTGATTTTTAGTGTTGTTTACACTAAGTTAGATTTGTCATCTGCCTGATTAGTTGCAAGGTCACAGAAACAGAGTTTTAAAAAAACCTGATTATTTTAAACTGCCCTGAAGGAGAGTTTCTCTTCATTGCTCTGTGCTTTGCATTCAATAATATTTATTTTTAAGCATTTTGACAGGAATAGTATAAGTGATGTAGCACCAAGTTGAATGCTGGAATGTTTCTGATATTCTTGTCCTTCTCCACTAGCTTTATACCTGCCATTCATTTTAAATTATTATTGTTTTCTAACCCTGCTCTACACTTGACATCTATTTCCTCCAGTCTCACTTATTTCGTGGGGAGACGAGAAGAGAGACTCCATCACTGGAAATAAATTTTAAACTTGAGTTTGTATGTCAAATCCTCTCCTTCTAGAGACATGCGCAGGGGTGTAAGGGGGAAGGTTCAAAGGCGAAGCATGGATCTTCCACCTCTCCTAAGTGCACAGTGAGGGCACTCCCTCCTGTTTCAATGTACCAGTGAACAGGGGAGCATGATGTGTGAAGCTTCTGATGTTTGTGTCAGCCTCTATCTGCAACACATTACAGTTATAAATATGCTAAGAGACCCATTTACAACAATCACTCCTGACCCAGAAACACCACCATACCAAGACTTTAGTTGAGTAAATGAAGCACAACAGAAGCCAAAATGGAATGAATATTGTACTTGAGTCAGGAGGCAACTGTGTTGGAAACAGTTTTAGTCGTATTGTAGATGTGACCTTAAAACACAGGTCCAGTCATGGGGTGAAGGTGATATCGACAACCCCCCCCCACACACACACACACTGTGTATTCTTTTTATGATCTCAAACAGCATGCTTGTAGGACTGAAACCTTTCCACCAGCCTCACCGCAGCTTAAGGTCTCTCTCTTTCGGGGGGGATTTGGGAGGGTGATTTTGCCTATATTTGACAGTTCCCCTCTGGAGGCTCGGGGAAGACATTTTTGCACGTGTTGGAGACAGTTACAGGTGAATGGCGTGTGTGTGTGTGTGTGTGATTTTGCTGCCTGTGTGACAGCACAGAAACCGCTGGGGCCACGTTAGCCCTGCAGCTGGCTTCCCCCTACACTGCTCAGGGCCTGGGCTTTGTTATGAAACTGCTTATACGTGGTCTGGCCGCCAAATAAGAACGAGATTTCCCTCCGCTCTCCCGCCACAGCGTCTCCCCTCTCTCGGGGCGGGAGCGGGAAAGTCCGGCGGGGCAGGGAACAGCGCGGGCGGGATTGTGCGTTACAGTCACTCCCGCCCCTGGGGAGGGGGCGCGGCTCAGCTCTCCCCGGTCTCTCGCGCTGCCTTTCCCGCCCGCCCACCGAGCACCGCCCAGCCCCGCGCGCCCCCGCGCCCCCGGCCGCAGCCGGCGCTGCGCGGCAAGCGGGGCGCGGCTCCCCCAGCTTGGGGCCCGCCCTGCACGTCAGCGGCAAGATGGCGGCGCCCGGCTCAGCCTGGAGGGGCGGAGGAGTCCCCTGCCCCAACTCGGAGGTAACGGTCGCTGCCCCTCCCCGCCCCCAGTGATAAGGGGGGGGGTCAGACGTCTGGGGAGGGGAAGACCCCTGCGTCCCCCGGTGATAGCGGGAGTTAGATTTAGGGGCACCCTGCAGCCAGGGGCGGGAAACACCGTCTCCCCTAAGCCCGTGTCTGCGCTCTAGATCGGGGGCTCCCCGCCCTGTGGGGGGAACAGCCAGATTTCAATTGATCTGAGTTCGACTCCTACACCGTTTGTTTTGTGTTAACCTAAACCGTGGAGGTGAAACTCAGCCAAACCCCACCCCTTGTCACAGGGAGGGAGGGGTTACGGTGTCTCCCACCCCCAGGAGCTGCGTAAGCGGTTTGGGCCCCGCTTCGTACCGAAGTTTTGCGAACTGAATCCACTTCGTATCCAAACCTAGAACCAGGCAGGTTTCACCTCCCTTTGGGTTTTGTTGCTAACGATCAACACACTCTAGTCTTCGTGGGCTGAAGTGTAGAGTTGACTTCTGTGGTCAGCTGTTTACATTACTAACTCCTCCTCAGTCTAAGGTAATAGCCGCAGACATACACAGTACAGGTTTTTATTTATGATAGGCCCAGTTCACAGATAATTTTCAGTCCTTTTGCACCAGCTATGCTTGAACAATGGCATGCAGATTATCATTATTTATATTGACATGTCACCTAGGCGCCCAAGTCATGGACCAGGACCCTGTTGTGCTAGGGGACTCTGTAGAAACACAGAATAGAAAGACCGTCCCTGCTCCAAAGAGCTTACATTCTAAGCAACAGTATGGTTCCACCAGCAAAGGGGGCCTTCTAGGATGCTCCCATCTGTTTCCCGGCTGCTACAGGGGCCTTGGGAAGCCATGTGCAAACTAGGAGGCTGAGCTACCCTCCTTCCAACAGCCCAAGAATTGAGGAAGCATAAGTTGTCCCAACCTTTCTCTCTGGGCCAGGCTGTGCAGGAGCACAGGGGTGAATTTAAGTTATGGTGCCTAGAATAAGATAGGTGCTTTACAAGTCGAGGATCCTGTTTAGAATATAAACAGATCAGTAGAAAAAAAGATAAAAATGGTATTCAGCAAAAGTAAGTAACTGAGCAAGTAACTATATTCAGCATTTGTCTTGTAGCTCAATGTTAAACTTTGTCTTCTCTCTTTCCATCATGTTAAAGGGATGATAAGGAATTTGGGAAGGGAGAACAAGATGTACTCTGATCATACAGTGATGAGAAGCAGTATATAACCCTCAGATAGAAAGATAAGAGCCTTGTGGGAGAAATGACTTTTAAGGAAAGATTTGAAAGGCATATTTTGGACCATAGTGAGAATATGTCACTTTCTACAGTAACAATCTACTATGGGATTGATTGCCTGAGTAATTTTCATGGTGAGTTTTCTATCTTGTTATCTGACACTGTCTGCACTGGAGTTTACCTTTGTTACAGCCATTGATGGCCAGTCGCTGGTGTAGCTACACTAGTGCAAAAGTTATGTCTGTGCTACAGAAGAAGTTTTGCTGTCAGTGTATGTCAGAGCCGGGGCATGGTTAGCCTGGCCTAGCATCAGGCACAGGCCAAGGGAGCCAGTTACCAGGAATCAGGCTGGGCTGGAACACCCAGAGATCAGAATCAAGAGAAACCAGAGGGCAGAAACCAGGAGATAGTTACCAACAGTCAGGCCAAATCAGAATACCAGGAGGTCAGGATTTCTATGAGACTCCACTTCGATGGGGTCTGCGTGAAAGAAGCTTCATTCAGGATTGGGGCATTATTGGTTTAAAATAGGTAAACCTACAGTATGATATAAACACAATTTGTGGGAAGTTGCAAAATAACTGGAAAATGCAAAATCCAAGATATGGGATGAGACCCTAGAGGCTATAGGCCAACTTTAAACCTGCAGCGTACACCAGGATGACAAAGGCAGGAAGGTTTCAGAGTAGCAGCCCTGTTAGTCTGTATCTGTAAAAAGAAAAGGAGGACTTTAGAGACTAACAAATTTATTAGAGCATAAGCTTTCGTGAGCTACAGCTCACTTCATCGGATGCATACAGTGGAAAATATAGTGGGGAGATTTTATATACACAGAGAACATGAAACAATGGGTGTTACCATACACACTGTAACAAGAGTGATCAAGAAAGGTGAGCTATTACCAGCAGGAGAGGGGGAGGGCGGGAACCTTTTGTAGTGATAATCAAGGTGGGCCATTTCCAGCACTTTACAAGAACAGTAGGAGGGGAAATAAACAAGGGGAAATAGTTTTACTTTGTGTAATGACACATCAACTCCCAGGCTTTATTCAAGCCTAAGTTAATTGTATCCAGTTTGCAAATTAATTCCAATTCAGCAGTCTCTCAATGGAGTCTGTTTTTGAATTTTTTTTGTTGAAAAATTGCCACTTTTAGGTCTAATCGAGTGACCAAAGAGATTGAAGTGTTCTCCGACTGGTTTATGAATGTTATAATTCTTGACGTCTGATTTTTGTCCATGTATTCTTTTACGTAGAGACTGTCCAGTTTGACCAATGTACATGGCAGAGGGGCATTGCTGGCACATGATGACATATATCACATTGGTAGATGCACAGGTGAACGAGGCTCTGATAATGTGGCTGATGTGATTAGTCCCTATGATGGTGTCCCCTGAACAGATATGTGGTCACAGTTGGCAACAGGCTTTGTTACAAGGATACGTTCCTGGGTTAGTGTTTTTGGTGTGTGGTTCCTGGTGAGTATTTGCTTCAGGTTGGGGGGCTGTCTGTAAGCAAGGACTGGCTTGTCTCCCAAGATCTGTGAGAGTGATGGGTCGTCCTTCAGGTTCAGGCAGGAAGGAATCTGATAGTAGGTAGTGAGGTGGATGAAAGAGAAGTAATGGAGAGAGGAAGTTGGAGGAGAGTTGAGGAATGCTTTGCTGCTGGGGAGGAAACACTGTTGTGGTGAATAGGTGCATTTTTACCAACTCTTACAATTTTATTGTGAGTCTGACAAAATTTTATGATTTTTTTCTTAATTCACCAGCTCTTGGAGTCAGATGATTGAAAGTGGAGATTAGCATGCATTTTTTTTAAAGTAAGTTTCTAGACCATATGGTTGTGGAGAAAAGCTTGAAGATGTGAGCATTGAAGGATTAAAACCCAGAAGGCAAATACAAAAATTAACTATTAAAAAAATAGTGAGCCTGACTCATGTTTTTTGAGAGGTTGGGTTTGACAATGCTGTGGATTCTATTGCACATAAAAAGTGAATCCAGGGAAGTACTAGTCTAAAAACCTATGAATACTCAATGGGTTTGGGAGACATCATTTTGAATTGAAATTGTGCTCAATTCCTTTTATTGAGTAACGCAGTTACATATTGTGAAGAATCTGATTTCTTCTTGGATGATTTCTGTAGTGTTAAGCAGTTTTGCCATTTTGGCTATCTGTCCTAAGTGACTGGCAGTATGAATTTAGTGGTTTTCCTCCATCTAGCATGAATCCATCTATCTGAGCAATTTAGAAAACTAAACTGGATTTAATTAAATTAGTTCATTTATAAACTGCAGCAGTTCCTGTAATTGTATTAGAGTCTCCTGGCATGTTCTTAGAATGAGAGAATTGGATATAGCATCCTCTGGCTATAAGGGAACAGTGAAGCATTGCCAATTCAATATTGTTTTTTTCAGATTTTACAGTAATAAATTGTAGGTCTTTTAAAATGCACTACCTCTGCAAAATGTGAGATGGGGATTTACTTTTCATATCATGAATGGGAACTAATAAAATAAAAGATTTTCTCACACATCCTAAAATATTTCTTTGGGTAAATAGTTTTGATTGGGTAAATGTACTGTGAGAATTTAAATGGTACAGTGTCAATGGTACCAGCACTTACTATTTGACTGTTACAGAGTTCAGTACTCCAGGTAAGCCCTGCCTTCCGCTATACAAGTTTTGGGGGGAAGGTTCCATAACCCTACCTCTGTGAAAGCAGTAGGGTATGCCTTCTCCATAGTTCAAGAGACACTCCCAATTTAAATTAAAATTATGGTAATTCGCAGGTATCTTTTGTCAAAAGTTGCTTATTGCATACCAAAATACTACTGTCTTGTTCTGACTGGTCTGTTTTTTTTAAATATTGTAAATCAAACATAACTCGCCACCTGTTACTAATTTACAATACTTGAATCTTCTATTAAGATCTGGAATTTTATTAAACTGCTTTCCCCCAACCACCCCATTGGAATTGTGTCCAAAAATAATAGTGCATATTTTGAAAACAAATCCCTTGTGACAAAAGCTTGATCTGTTATGAGCTCCCAGAAGGAAGGAGATTCAACGTTCTTATCCAGTGGTCACAGCTATTACCTGTTACTGATAAGTATTGAAAAGTAGCTGAAAGAGAGAAGGGATATTTTCCTGCCTGTTCCTGTTCAGTTTTGTCATAAAGATATGTAGAAGGTGAAGGGCTGGGGGAGAAGGAACGTGTATGAAGGAATATATCTTCTTACTCTCAACTAATACAGTGTTGCATCAAAAGTTGAAAACACCAGGCTAAATAATTCTTAAGACTGACAGAAATATGATTTGGTCATAGATCAGAGATATCATGGAAGTATTTTTCTACCTGAAACAGCTGCAGATTTCAAGAAACTCTAATAAAGTCTATTACTAATGTGTAAATATAATTCCTTAAACTCATTAATGAAATTCCATCTGAACAATGTATAGGACAGTAATAAAATTAATGTAATTATCATGTGATAAAATATAAGCAGAATTGCATACCATCATTTTGCCACCAAAGAAATTGCAAATAAAAAACAAGTGGAAATACTGTCTCAGTTTGTATGTGTTAAAAGCTTGTTTTAAAAAAATTAAAAATACATTATAGAATTATCACAAACTGACATGAAGCTAAACAAAGGGGGAAATGCTGTTATGGAGATTAATATTTACAGCCCATGAAAATAGCGAGCTATAAGTTAGTCCTTAATAAAAGGCCAAATCTTTTTTGCCTCACTCAGGTGAATAATCCCATTAAATTCAACAGGACAACTCATATGAGTAAGGCAAGTGAGATTCGGGATACAATATGTAAACCAAAAAGAAAAGGAATACTTGTGGCACCTTAGAGACTAACCATTCTTCAAAGAAACCATCATCGCATATCATGTTGGGAGGGACTCATGCCTCCACCATCAGATCAAGTGGAACTCGTAAACTAATGATAAAATTTATGCAGTGTGAGTGGTTCAGCTCACAGATTCTCTAGTCCTGAGGACTTGATGCCCAGGGTGAAGACCCTGTGAAACTATATCTTTGAAGTAGTAGAATAACAAGCTAAATAACTGCTGCTTACATGTGATCAATTTAATGATAAGAATGTTTGTCCGTGTCTATTAGTACTGTCATTTGCATATACTCTTAAATATTTCAATAACCAGTGTTGTTGTGTTAGTTCTAAAAATAAGAAAAAACAAAGAAGACATAATAATCCTCCAATATGATCATTTCAAATTATGTAACAGAAAGCTAATCAGTAAAAAGTTTTCAAAGAAAGAAATATTCTTATTCCTTGCGACATAATATTTTTTCAAATAGAAATAAATGTGACATTTCAGTTGTCTAATGACTAATTTTGGATGCTCTATCAGATTTCTGTAGAAAAGTAATTTCACCCTCAATAATACCATATGAACACATTTCTACGTAATCATATAAAACCTTAGCGTATTTACGTCTGCTAAATATAAAAAAAATGGTGTCAGCTTATAACAAAAAGGAGGCAGTATTACTACTCAAATAACTATTTTAATGGTATTTTCTAATCCCATCAAATATTGTTTCCAAAATAGAAAGGATCACAATCTATTTTAGGGTTTTAGACTGCTACCTATCACCACAGTATCTTAACACCTTCCATGTAAGATCAATAGAAATAGTGAAGTCATAATGGACTTCCTGGAGTCTCTGGCACTTCTTACTTTTCAGGGTGAAAACTCTGCTTGAGGTAGGGTTTTTGGTTTTGATTTCTTTTAGATTTTGTTGGTAGCAGTGTAGATGTGGGAGTCGCTTTCGTCCGTGTCATTTTGAAGGTAGAATACTGCATAGAGATTTTGCAGTATTTCCTAATGACTTTGGATTCCCTTGATCTCCTCCTCCTCCGGTAGTTTGCTCCATAGCTGTATTCTCTCTGTTTAGAATGCTTTATCTCGCAAGGTTTTTCCTGGGCTTTGTGGTCTGCATTGTCCTAGCTGTCATGTTGATTCATAGATCAGAATTTGATCTTTTATGCAGCTGAGTCATAATTAAGGCTACGATTTTGTCACAGAGGTCCTGAGGCAGCGGGCCCTCAAGCTCCTAGCCACCATGGGCAGTGGGAGTACCCTGCAGCTCCTGGCTGCTGTGGGGGGCTGGGGATCCCCACAGCTTCCCAGCCACAATGGTGGGGCTGGAGGACCCCAGCAGCTTCCCTGCTGCTGCGGCAGGGTAGTGGGACCCCCGCAACTCCATGGCTTCCACGGCGGGTCAGGGGGACACCCGAATCTCCCCACAGGGACAGCGGCGGGGGATTCCCGCAGCTCCCCTGCCACTGCCGAGGGACGGGGGACCCCCGTCTGCCATGGGGGGGCAGAGGGAGCCCTACAACTCCTCTCCATCAGAGGAGGGCAGGGAGACCTCAGCAGTTCCCTTTCCGCCGCAGTAGGGCAGGGGGACCCCCGGAGTCCCCAGCTGCCACAGAGGGGCAGGGGGACCCTGGCAACTTCCCTGCCACTGCAGCAAGGCAGTGGGACCCCCGCAGCTCCATGGCTGCCACGGCGTGTTGGGGGAAGCCCCGCATCTGTCCACAGTGGCAGCGGCAGGGGGACCCCCACCACTCCCTGCCACTGCTGTGAGGCGGGGGACCCCCTGGCCGCCCTGGGGTGAGCAGAGGGATCCCCATAGCTCCTCCCACCACAGGGAGGCAGGAGGACCGCCACAGTTCCCCTCCATCACAGCGGGGAGCTAAGGTACCCCTGCAGCTCCCCACTGTGGTGGCAGCAGGTGGGTTTCCGCAGTTCCCCATCGTTAGATATATTAAAGTTGGAAGGGCGAAAGCCATCCTAGGGTATACTTAAGGAATTAGCAGATGCAATCTAAGAACTATTAATGATTGTCTCTGAGAACTCTTGGAGGATGGGTGAGGCCCCAGATGACTGGAGAAGAGCAAATATAGTTCCTATCTTTAAAAACATAAGAACCAACATGAGTTTGTCAAGAACAAATCATACTAAACCAACCTAATTTCCTTTTTTGACAGGATTACCGGCCTCGTGGATTTGGGAGGGGCAGGGAAGCTGTACACATGATATATGTTGATTTTGGTAAGGGTTTTGACATAGTCCCACATGACATTCTCATAAGCAAACTAGGGAAATACTGTCTAGATGAAATTACTATAAGGTGGGTGCACAACTGGTTGAAAGACTCTACTCAGAGAGTAGTTGTCAATGGTTCGCTGTCAACTGGGAGGACATATCCAGTGGGGTCCCACCAGGGTCGGTCCTGATACTATTCAATATTTCATTAATGATTTGAATAATGGAGGATATGCTTAAGGGCTGTTATAAAGAAGACATAATCAATTGTTCTCCATGTCCACTGAAGGTAGGGCAAGAAGTAATCGGCTTAATCTGCAGCAAGGGAGATTTAGGTAAGATATTAATACCCTTATAGTTAGAAAGTTTTTCTTAAGCACTGGAATAGGCTTAAAGGGAGGATGTGAAATTCCCGTCACTGGAAGTTTTTAAAAAACAGGTGAGACAAACTCCAGTCTGTCTTGCCACCTAGGTAAATTTGCGTCTGTGATAGAGATCCCTTACGCCAAAAATCACAATAATATTCAGGTTATTCCTAGTCCCAAAGGACCAGTCACTTACCCCAGATCAGTTGTACATCAGATCTCAACCCAAAGACAATGCTTGTAGCCAATCCTATAATACTAACTAAAGATTTATTAACTAAGAAAAAGAAATGAGAGAGTTAGTTACAAGGCTAAAGAAGGTAAACACACACGCAAATGAATTACAGTCTTAGGATCCAAAGACTGATAGCTGCTCTATATGCAAGCTCTATGTCCTTTAGGGCTAACCCAGACTAAGTAGCTTGGGGATCCCTTACTTATGCTTAGAAATATTGCCCTCTCTGAACTCCAAGCAGCATAGTGATATGGTTGCTTCTTGTCAGGCATTTTTAATTCCTTTTCCCCAGAGCTCAATCTTATGGGATGAGTTCACTCACAGGGCCCCTCTTATGGGAGTTATGGATGGGTGGGAATCAACGAAGTCTTTGTCCTTTGTTTCATAATGGCTTGTTTGGTTTCAGTGAGGGTTTTCTGTGTGCTTAACTAGCACTTTACACTAATTAATGTTTCTTTTCTGTTTGGTGAGTGCATTGTAAACCTCTGTAGTTGTGTATTTTATACTGTAGGCTACAGATATTATAAGTGAGATCAATACATACGGCATCCTGCAAGCATTTCATTAATTCTAAACACTACACACATTCTTATTAACTTAACATCTATTTTGACAGTGCTAACACCACAGGTGAGCCGGGCTGGTTTCCAGCTATGCATTTGTCAGTGTTTAGTGAGTCCTAAGGGCCTTGGTATGAGCCGGCAACTGGTCAGCCATTGTCACAGTCAGGACTTGAGAAACTTATTTGATGCCTACTTGTACCATGGCACTCCTAAACTGCTAGCATTCCTGTCAGCAGGCCATTGTTCTTATCAGCTTTGGGCAAGTAGGTATCTGATTAAATTTGAAGTACCATAGTCCCTCTCTGGCTGTTGGAAAGGAGAAACATTTTCTCTCTCTGTCGCAGACTCTGGACTGTCTTGAGAATGTTTCTTTAGGTCCTCTTCCCCAAGCCTTCTGACTGTTGCACACATAGTCATCTCATCTCCACTATTCTTCCCCCCGCTCATCTTTCTAAATGTTGTGAAGGGTTGTTTTTGCTGTTCTTCCTTCCACCCAGCCTCTGTTTTTATTGGTGGTCCTACCCAGTAAATAGTTTCAGTGCTTTCCCTGATAAAGTTCATAGGTTTTCCAAATAGTAGAGTGACGTTGTCCTTATTTTTGTCAGTTTTGAGCTTCCCAGACAGTTCTGAATAGTAGCAGTGAAGACTGATGTGACGCTGACCACTGCTGCAGCAGGGGTATTGGAGCTGTTTGCCTGCAGACCTAAGAAGGCAGTACTGTATCAGTTTACGCTGTGTTCAGGACTGGAAGGTAACCTTCATAATCATAAGTGCTAGAAGCTACCCTCTCACCACTTAAGGTGTGGCACATTCAGGTTAGAGTGCTCCTCCAGGCCTAAATGTTCTCAGTCCATTAGATCATGCTGCCTCTTTTCTAACAAAAGTTGATATTAAAATGCTGTGCATACAGCATGACTTTCTTTGCTCCAAATTTACTATTGTTTCCCCTGACCTGAAAATAGAATTATAAGTACTTGAATAAATGGATTGAAATGTTGCCTAGTTTCACTGTAGCTTCTATAATGATTACTACCTTTTTTCCTGAAAGACAGTTTGTTTGTTGGTCTTTTTAACTGTACTTAAAATTTCAAAACAGACAATCAACAGCAAAGAATGGATTCTGCTACCTTTCTTCTTTTACATGCAGCAGAATAATGTCAATGTTACAAAATTATGCTAAATCAAGCCGTGCATCCTCTGTACACTTTAGGGACTATGATTTTGCTTGGCTCATCTGTTGCTTGGACTTTTGAAAAACTGACCCTTTAAGGTAGAGACCCACAAAAGGAAAAAAGCAGTAATCTTGTGTGCTGGTACAGTTATAATAATCCAGAGTGAGTTTTCTATGTCATAGAATCCACCCATAGTAAATATCAGTTTACACTTAAGGGAAAAAAAAATCAAGATGTCATGGATTTGTTGTACTACAGCCCCCTCTGGTGGTAAAAAAATTAAATCCTGCATTTTAAAACTGCTGAGCGCATTCTGTAAAGCAGTGGTTCTCAACCAGGGTTACGCGTACCACAGGGGCATGCAGAGGTCTTTCAAGAGGTACATCAACTCATCTAGATATTTGCCTAGTTTTACAACAGGCTATGTAAAAAGCACTAGCGAAATCAGTACAAACTAAAATTTCATAGAGACAGTGACTTGTTTATATTGCTCTTTATATTATACACTGAAATGTAAGTACAATGTTTATATTCCAGTTGATTTATTTTATAATTATATGGTAAAAATGAGAAAGTACGCAGTTTTTTCAGTAATAGTGTGCGGTGACACTTTTGTATTTTTATGTCTGATTTTGTAAGCAAGTAGTTTTTAAGTGAGGTGAAACATTGGGTACTCGAGACAAATCAGACTCCTGAAAGGGGTACAGTAGTCTGGAAACGTTGAGAGCTACTGCTGTAAAGCATTGTCTTATCACTTCAAACACTTGAGATTTTTCTTCTGCTTCTTTCCTATTCTGCCTCTGTTCCCAAACGTTCTGTTTTTTCCCCCAACCATTTACTTAGAGCAGTGTATTGTGACGTGGCTAGGACACTGGGCTGTGGATCAAAAGATCATGATTCTCTTCCTGGTTTTGTCACTGACCAGTTATGTAACAATGGGCAAGTCACCTCACCTCTCTGTTCCTGAAAATGGGGATAATGATACCTACCTTTGTAAAATTGAGTTCTATGGTTGAAAAATTATTATGCTAGAATTAAGAGTTATTTATTATTAGTGGATAGGGTGACCCAATAGCAAGAGTGAAAAATCAGGATGGGATGGGGGGGAAAAGGCACCTATATAAGAAAAATCCCCAAATATTGAGGCTGTCCTTATAAAATCTGGACCTCTGGTCACCCTATTAATGGAAGATAGTGACAAAATACTGTCGTGCTTAGCCTCTGGTCTGGAGAGAGTAAGTATGGGATAATTTGCCACTAACTGGGCCACATACTAACTTGTGCCCATGGTAACAGAATGAAGCAAACTAGGGTCCACCTGGTAGAGGAGAGTAGGGTCAAAGCTACTGCTTTACACCATGTTTTCTCTCTCTCCACACAACACAACTGTTGGAGCTCCATCACTCTGGGGAGTGGAGCTTTGAGTGGGAAGGAACTCTGTGGCATGCTCTTCTTGAGTCCTGAGTGGATTTTCGATAGAAAATATACCCCAAAATTACTGTTAGTTTGAACCCACAATGATACACATACTCTAAGGAGGTGGGTTTTTTGCATGTAAGGGTGGGATTATATTGCAGCATAGCTGCTTTGGGAGCAGCACAGGATCCTGGGCATCCATACTGGTGACCCTAGACCAGTGGTCTCCAACCTTTTTATGCCCAAGATCACTTTTTGAATTTAAGGGCAACCCAGGAGCTGCCCCATCCCTTCCCCAAAGCCCCACCCCACTCACTCCATCCCCCCCCCCCCCGCCATCACTCACTTTCACCAGGGCAGGGTAGAGGGTTGGGGTTCAGGAGGGGGTGCGGGCTCTGGGCTGGGGCCGAGGGGTTGACAGTGTGGGAGGCGGCTCTGGGCTGAGCCTGGAGCAGAGGGTTGGGGTGCAGGAATGGGTGAGGGGTGCAAGCTCTGGGAGGGAGTTTGGGTGCAGGAGCGGGCTCTGGGCTGGGGCAGAGTGTTGGGGTGCAGGAGAGGGTGTGGGTGCTGGCTCTGGGAGGGGGCTCAGGGCTGGGGCTTGGGGTGCAGGAGAGGGTTCAGGGTGCTGGCTCTCAGAGGGGTCTCAGGGCTGGGGGTTGGGGTGCAGGAGGAGGTTCAGGATGCAGGAGGGGGTATGGGGTGCTGACTCCGGGAGGGGGCTCAGGGCTGGTTTAGGGTGCTGGCTCTGGGAGGGGGCTCAGGGCTGGGGGTTGGGGTGGAGGAAGGGGTTATGGGGTGCTGGCTCCGGGAGAGGGCTCAGGGCTGGGGGTTGTGGTGCAGCCTCTTGCCGGGCAGCACTTACCTTCAGCAGCTCCCGGTTGGCGGTGCAGAATGGCTGCCACTAAAGCAGGTTCCCTGCCTACTTGGCCCCACGCCACTCCTGGAAAGCACCAATGCACCCCTGCAGCCCCTGGGCAGGGGGTGGGCGACACGTGGCTCCGCATGCTGCCCCTTTCTGCAAGCACCGCCCCCGCAGCTCCCCTAGGCCACAGCTCCCCATTCCTGGCCAGTGGGAGCTGTGAGGGTGGTGCTTACAGACAGGAGCAGCGTGTGGAAGGAGACTCCTAATCGCTGCCCGCTGGGCCACGCTGGCTGCTTCCGGGACCGGCGTAGGGCCGGGGAAGGTAGGGAGCCTGTTTTAGTGGTAGCCTCACTGCGCAGCCGGAGATCGCGACTGACTGGGAGTTCTCCTGCCTGTTCTTTTGAAGAACAACTCTACCTCCCACCCCTCCAAATACACAAAAATAACCTTTTGGGATGAAACCTCCAGTAAAAACTTGTAGAGTTTTATAGCTACCGTCAGTGTGTCTTACATTGGTTAGCACACAGATCTCTGTTTGCTATTGTGTGAGCTGGGACAAAGGATTTGATGTGATAACTCTCTTCCATCCGTCCCAGAGTTTGAACTCCAGAGTCCTGGCCTGGTTTATAGAGCAGTAATTGTGCTGGTGCCGCTCATGTTCTTTTCACATTGCCTTTTATTTTAATAAAACAGTGACTCAAAAATTAGAGTAAGATTTTTGTATTTTATATGTGTATATTACTTTTAATCCGGAAGGATCCTAAAGCCCTTCACAAACTAAATACAGCAGTGCTGAAATGCTTCCAACTCTCGGACAGAGAGCAGCAGACATGCACATCTGTGCATGCTAATGAGAATGTGGTCAAAATACTACAGTAAACCCCAAATGTTTTTAAAAGTTCTGTGGACCCCTAATGACTTTGAACAACAACACACCCATTTTTAAGTTTTTATATGAAAAAAATACACAATTCTTCTGGAGCAGCTCAAGGTTTCATGGTCTTCCTCACTCTTGATCTTTTCTTTGTGCTGGGATGGAAGATAGGGCATTTGGAAATGTACCCACATCACAGACCACTCATTCCTCCTATGATCCAAGGTGGGGGTGCTCTTCTTTTGAGTGGGGGACTGGTTTAGACATTCACTCCTGGAGGCCAGCATAACCACTGTTTCCAGAAAGTTCTGAGGGAGTATACTGTTTTTTCATCAGCTAACTCTGTTGATGTGAGGATCAGACTTTATCCTATCTTCTGTCCTCATTAGTGATAAAATAGTGCCTAGGCTTTCTCTTCCCCATCTTTGTTCTCACAGGTTACAGTGGTTTACAGATGACCTATAACAACCAAAGTGAAAGTGAACTTTTGAATTCATTCCACCTTGTTGGTCTGAAATACCAGTTTTGTTGACCTTCAGGACATACTGTAGGGCCCCTCTCTTTTTCTGAGTGGAAGGGACACAATAAGGCTGGTATTGTGCATGGTGGAGCATTTTGGGGTTATTGTTTTGATATCTCCCATTGATTTTCCAATTTTGGGGGAGTTTCCGGTCTTTTAAAAATATTTTGTCATAAATGCCTATAGTAGTAGGATATTACTGTTTACTTACAGATGTAATTTAAAACATTGTTTAATTCTGAGTGATGAACATTTTAAAATTTACCAAAACTCAGTGTACAGCATGTTAAACCAGAAACAGTTGGTCCTTAACAACATTAGTTTCATTGGCAAACCAGACATATTGGTATAAGAAATTAACAATCAAAATGACTAAAGGTGTCTTTCCTCTGTGTGTGTGTGTGAGAGAGAGAGATATACACGGATTGTTCTTTGTCATTTACACAAAGTGGCTGTTTTCATTTGAGAGATTTTTTGCTGGAATATCTCTAGGGCCCTACCAAATTCCCGGCCATGAAAAACGCATCACGGACCATGAAATCTGGTCTTTTGTATGCTTTTACCCTATACTATACAGATTTAATTGGGGAGACCACCATTTCTCAAGCTGGAGGTCCTGACCCAAAAGAGAGTTTCACGGGGTGTGTGTGTGTCCACAAAATTATTTTAGGGAGGTCGTGGTATTGCCACTCTTACTTCTGTGCTGTCTTCAGAGTTGGGCGGCCAGAGAGCGGTGGCTGTTGGCCAGGTGCCCAGCTCTGAATGCAGCGCCCCACCAGCAGCAGCACAGAAGTAAGGGTGGCAATATCATCCCGTGCCATCCTTTCTTCTGCGCTGTTGCTGGTGGCAGCTCTGCCTTCAGAGCTGGGCTCCCGGCCAGCAGCCACTGCTCTTCGGCTGCCCAGTTCTGAAGTCAGCACAACAACCACCAGCAGTGCAGAAGTGAGGGTAGCGGTACCACAATGCCCCTACAATAACCTTGTGACCCCTCACACACCTCCGTTTTGGTTCAGGATCCGTACAATTACAGATTTAAATAGCTGAAATCATGAAATTTATGATTTTTAAAATTCTGTGACAATGAAATTGAGGGAAAAGGACCATGAATTTGGTAGGGCCCTAAATATATCTTAATAACTTGATTAAGAGCCCAGATAAATTGTTTGCTGATGATGACAGAGCACCTTCAGACATTAATTCTTCTGGGGCCATCATAGGGTCTATTAATAGCTTTGTGCACATATTTTGATAACTGCTTTAACTGTTCTGGTTTTTCTTATCTAACTTTGCTCATAGATCCTGTGTGAACTGCTCCGTATGGAATCTTTACTATTCATTGAATGCATACATCAACCTCTGAGGAAAGATTTCCTGTAAACACATCTATTTTGTTTTACATGTAAGTAGTCTATCTCTTGAGCTGTAAATTTTCTAAGATTATAATAAATGCTCATTTAGTTGTTCAACACACTTATTTTACTTCTAATCCATATTATATTTAATCTTTTGCTATGGCATATTGATTCATACATAGGCTGTATGTGTTGTTTAAAGCATATATGTTTTTAGTCATTTAGAGCCAAGTCCTGGAAAAGTTAATGCACGCCTGGGAGATTCAGAAAACTCGTAAGTAACTTAACCACTTCATGTGTGCATGTGCGTGTAAAAGGTATGGATATAGAATTTACATGTGGCATGGAACAGTGCACACACATTTGTAACCATTGTAAAAGGGCTGGAAAAGGTCTTGTTTGGAGGTGAGGGTGTTAGCCAAACCAGTGTCTTATCCTGAAGTGCAGTATAATACATATTGGATGAGCACATGACACTGTAGCTAATTTCACCCTGTGTCTCATGACCAACCATAACAGCCAGCAGATTTTCTTCCTCTTTCAACACCAACTACTTGATCTTTGTAAGACAGGAAACTAATCAAGTGCAGTGCTGAGTTTATACATCTGCTCTCTCATTGTGTAACTTTTAGTTACGTAATCTAGTACTTGCTGGATTGGATCTGTATTTGTCATTATTAAGGATGTAGGATACTTTTGGAAATGAATAGTGTTATTTTTTCCATCACTTTAGTTTTTTAGAATTAAACAAACCTTCTCATTGTACTAGACTGTGTGTATTTCTAAACTAAACAATGAGACTGAGGATGTTGTTATGCATACAATTCAACTGATGTAACTGAAAAATGTATCCTGTCAGTCTCTCTTCTTTCTAAATATTTTAAAACTATACTTAAGTAGCATTTTTCATTTTTAATACCAATCATCCAAGATTTACAAAGCTCTTTATACCTATTCATGCTTGACATTTTGGAGGCACGTTAGGATGCCAGTAGAGGGTGTCAGTCAGCTTCGAAGAAGGTCAGGCTGGGCTGTGGTTCACACTTAGGGAAACATGGCAGACCCTGTAATAAATAATTGATATTAATTTCACTGTAGGCATTGATGTTGTCTGCAAATTCAAAAAGATAACACTGCATTGCTTTCCATTCAGTTCAATTTGGAAGATTTACATTCAGTTCACATGCAGAAAGTTTATCTTTGCATCCATAATGTACTGAAACATTTAGTTTAGTGAAATCTTAAATTCTGCACAAATAGATAGCTTAAATAGGCTTCTTCCTTCCTTCCTTCCTGTTCCCTGTGGGATGATCGTGTGGACTTTTAAAACTTTATATACAGTAAACATCCCCCTTGTGCTATCTCCTCTCTAACTTCTGTCTGTAACTACTCCTCTGTGGATGTATATTCTGGATGTGTACCAACAGTTTTCCCTGACTTTGAAAATGTCATGAGTTAAGATCACAAGAGCCTTGAAAGTGGATTCAGTCTGTCATGCTGAGCAGATTTTCAAAGTCAAAACATGGGACAGGCAGTCTGGGAATATTTATGGATTGTTTTTGGAGGCAGTCAGGGAGGTGTGAAGCAAGGGTTTTGGCAGCTGGGGAATAAAGGGCAAAAAAGTCTGCCCACTCTACCTCTTCCTCATATTTTCTATGCTCTTGTTTTCTATTTTTCTCTTTCCTCACTTTTCCTGTAGTCATTTCGCCTCTCTTTCAGCATCCTTCAGTTGTCTCCCCTTTGACCTTCCCCTCACTCTCTCTACCATAATTATTCATTTTAAGTATTATTATTTGTATTACTGTAGCACCTAGAAGCCTTAGTCATGGACTAGGACTGCATTGTGTTAGGCTCTCTGCAAAGACAGAACAAAAAATGGTCCCTGCCCCAAAGAGCTTACAATCTAAGTATAAGACAAGAGACAACAAATAGATACAGACAAACAGGGGAGGACAAGGAAGCAATGAGACAGTATTGGTCAGCGTGTAGGGCTGCTGGTGCGCTGAGGCACCTGCCTATCTCCCTTTTATTCTTAGTCCTTTTATTCTACCCCAGCTCCAGAGACCCTACCTTAATCCTCTGCTCATCTGTGGTGCAAGGAAGCTAGTCAGTTGCATGAATCATATTAGGCAAGCTTGGTAATTACCTGCATATGGCTGCGCAGATCATGTGAGCTGCTTGTCAGCTCATCATTCAGTGCACTGCCAGGCTTCTGCTCGGCACCTTCATGACTAAGGCAAAGCAGGGTGACACATGTGACAGGTCTGGTGAAGATATATTCCTTAATATGTGAGCACTTAGCCAACCTGTTATCAGTCTCACCTTCTCAGCTGGCTGATTTCTTTAGCTGGTCAGAGTCAGAAGGGATGTACAAAAACTGTGACAAAACACTATTTCTGGTTTTAAAAAAAAATTGACTGGGACAAACCCTGAAAACAGTGACACAATCACACTGGTTTACAAGGCCAAGAATTCACTTTAGTGAATACTTCATCCAGTCTTAATTTATGCTTATCAAAGTGAGATAACGGTAAAGTATTAGGACTGCTGGTCTTTTGTACAAATTTGAATATTGTTCCTGTCCTGAGGGCTTTGATTTTTGTCATGGGCATAATGAGACAGGCATAAGGGAAATCTAAAAACAGTCAAATGACAAGAATCTACATCCCGAATGCCCTTTACTTTTTCATTAGGCCACATAACAGTGCATATGCTGTGAAAACATTATTTGTATAGCACAGTTAGTGTGCCAGGTACTTTATGAAAAATACACAAAGAGGCCTTTGCCTTAAAGAGCTTGCAAAAAGTACAGATAAACAATTTCTAACATAAGAATTGCTATTCTGAAACCTACTTTACCGTTGTAAATAAATAAAATATTTACTTGCTATGGGATGTAGAATGTTGGAACTAGTAGGGGAAAGGGCAGAGGAGATGACCTCAGTGGGAGTTTACTGGTCTGGTCCCACTTCTCTCTATTAGCCTCCCAGGATTTAACTTAGCAGCTCCCAATTAAATTTGTTCATCTGTGTACTATAACAGTTACCCAAAAAACCTCAAATGTCAAAAATAGAGTGTGTGTATGTATGTATATATATTAACACATGTAATTAACACATTTTAAAAATGAAAATTGTTGGAGCCACAACAACGGCCTGAAAAATATATTCTGAATTGTATATTGGATTTATTCATTTTTCCCTGGACAAATGTGATTTGGTCACACAGTGCACATATGTTAGTCATATGATTTTATCTTCCTGACATGGTCAAGGCCTAAGAGAAGCTTAATATGAAGAAGCGATCAATGCGTGTTTCAGTTTTCTGCTGCAAAACACTTTAAATATAAGCACTGAAAGCTAGTTTCATATGGGGAGAATGTGAATGCACAGGTTTCCTAAAGCCTTTGTACATTTTATGGTTTCTCCTGGATATGCATATGTAATCCCCATTTATGTCAATAACATTTATACATCCACTGACAGAAAAATGGGCTCCTGGGTTTTTTGTTTTGTTCTAGGGGTGTGAGATGCAGAAGCTGATTTGTTATAATTAAAGCTGCCTGTAATGGCAAACAGAAATGGGGAAATAATGGCTTTGTCATGGTAAACAAATGCAATAAATAAAAAGGCAACATTCTGGCACTATTTAATTAAGTGTTTTGTTATGATAAATTCTGTGAAAGATGATATCTTTTATTTTACAATGAAAAATGTTAAAGCCAGATAAAAGATTTTATATTAGATATTAAGACACCCAAACATTTGGGAATTTATTAAGCCAAATTTGTAAACGTTCATGGAAGACTCACGCTAAGAAAAGGGCTGGCTGTGGTGACAAAGATTGATTTTAAAAAAATATTAAGCCACAAAGCAAAATCTTTTAAGATGGTCGTTAACTTTTGGATGCCCACCTTCCTTGTTTGTCTAGATGTGCTGACGATCTGTAGCTTCCATTAAGTTCAGTTGGAACTGAGTGCTCAGCAGTTATGAAAAACAGGTTCAAGAGGTCTCAAGTGAGGAACCCAAAAGTTGAGGCATGCAGAATCAGTGACCAAACATATAAACTTGATAATAATACACCAATTCTCTGAAGACCGCATTGACTTTCTGTTTGCTTCTTGGTGAAATTCAAGTGGTTGACATTGATATATAAAGCCCTAAATAGTTTGTGTCCTGGCTGTATGAGAAAAAAGAGTCTTTTTGTGTCATTGTAACAGTTTTGCTCAGCCGGAGTGCTCTAACAGTCTCTAAATTTTAAATATCAGAGGACTTGTGGCTGGGCATTCTCAGTAGTGAACACTGAACTTTGGACCTTGTTTTTCCCAATTGACTAATAGAACCAGAGTCTGTTAATATTTAGGATATAGTGCAAAGCCACTCTGTTGTCTCAAAACTTTGACTGAGCATGTAACTGGCTACATATTTAGCTTATTTTAGTATCTACTTCTATAGTGTACATTCAAATAAGGACATGTGTGGTGTAAGTGAGGTTTTTTGCACATTTAAGAATAAAATAAATTGTACAATAACAAAGCTTATGAAAGTTTGCAGAACATTAATAATAATAGCTTTCTCTATGGTCATGAAGATGATATCATATATTTTTATTACTTTTCTTTCAGGTTTAAAAATGTCTGATAAAAAAATAATTATGAACAGAGCCCATTATATTGAGAAGCTACTGTCTGAAAACAATTTCCAAGATATTGGAAATCACCTTACAGAACTTGAAGCTGTTGATATGACTATAGAATATCTTCAGGAGACTGATGTTGCCAAAGCTGTGTACAGAGTCTTCCAGAACTGTCCTGCAATAACATTGAAAAAGAAAGCAAAGCATTTATTATCAAAGTGGAAGATGCTTTACAAGAATAACTATCTTTCATCGGTACAAGATAAAAAGTCAGTTTCTCAGAGTGTGAAAGAGCACAATGAATATTTCAGTGCGGTTCCACAAGAACAAACTGAGTTTTCTGGAGAATTGAATCAGCATGAAATGTTAGATGCTGCTGGTTCTAACAGTTTGCTGACATCACAAAACGTTTCAAAAGATGAAGTGTATAATAAGCCAAAAAGCAGTGTGAATCAACTGGGTCTTTTAGAAGAGCAGCACACCGATAATGAAAACACTAAACCTGCTGGCAGTGAAACAAGCCCACAGCAAGGACATATGAAGCCCATGAGGTTGAAATGCACAGAACTTATTTATAAAGCCTTGACTGATTCTGCCACAAGCAAAGAGGAAGCCAATAAGTGGCAAGAATTATCCAAAGAAATTGAAGAGCATATTTTTGCTCTTCATGCTAGAAATGACAAAAAGTACAAAAATTGTATCAGAAGCAAAGTCTCTAACTTGAAGAATCCTAAAAATTCCCACTTAAAACATAACCTATTTTCAGGGACTATGAGTCCAAAGACTTTTGCTGATATGACAGTGATGGAAATGGCCAATGATGAACTGAAACAACTCAGAGCTTTGTACACAGAATCATCTGTTCAGGAACATCAGCTTCCCCAAGTTATTGATGGCACACAGACAAACAAAATAAAATGTAGGCGCTGTGAAAAATTTGATTGCACTGTCACTATGATTGCCAGGGGAACTCTCTTCCTGCCTAGTTGGGTGCGAAATGCAAATCCAGATGAACAAATGATGACTTACGTTATTTGTAATGAATGTGGAGAGCAGTGGTACCACAGCAGATGGGTTTGTTTGTGATTATTAACCCTTTAATGAATATCACTTAAAAGTGAAAAACATAAAATAGATATCAGAGAAAAGTGTTGGGATTATTTTTGTATTTGTCTTAGATGTTTATAAATCAGTGCTATTGTGCAGACACAGCAAATAAGTTGTAGGATAATAGCTAAATGATAGTGGTCATAAAATCATTTTGGAGGTTGTATTGAAATGATTTGTCTTAAATTTTATTTGCTGTAAGTGTGTAAAATGTGCATTGTGTTGTAATATAATTTAGTGGGAAACATTTGCGTGCTTGTTACAAAGATTGCTTGGTATTTCAAAACAGTTAAGGACTTAATTTTCAAACGTATTGAACACTGTAGTTCTTATTGTCTTCAGTGAGATTTGTGGATGCTCAGCATTTATGAAAATCAGGCCATTAGTACAGTTTAAGCAAGTTAATGGCAATACTGTAATGAACACCTTTTTTCTAGGATGATCACTGAAGACTGTCCAACACAGACCTGCTCTGTAATTAAATGAAAAATTCACTTGCAAAAAGAGTCAGATTACTTCTCTAACCAATTTAATCATGTTTAAGTAGAAGGATAAGCTGCCGAATATAAAAGATACTGGGGAGAATGGTAGCAAATTAAAGCAAAAATGGACTTGGATGTAAACTGTTTTATAGCTAAGCAAAAAATGCTTCTTTAAAAGAGATCCCAGATCAGATGAGTATGATATAGAGTATTATATCAATTTGAGATCCAAACTTGCATTTTAACATGGTATGCATTACACCTGGTAGTAAGTGTTTGCAAAATTAGACCCCTGAGGGCCTGATTCAGGAAATCACATATGCACATTATTAAATCATCCTTATTCATGAAATTAAGGGATGAAGTTAAACATATGCTTAAGTCTCATTATGTGCTTTCCTGAACAGAGATGTTTTCCTGAATTGGGGTCTTAGTTACTAATTACAGTATGTTACATTTTTCCTCATTCAGGTAATAAATACATGAGGGGAAAAAACCCTCTGTTTTTACTCCAAGAATTGGTGAATTATTGTGCTCTACGGTTGTTGCTTTGTCCAATAGTGAAGCATCTGTCCTATTTCTAAGTTCATATTTCAGGTTTATATCATGTGTGGTACTAGCACAAACTAGGATTAATACCTGTATCCTGCTAGCATCCATTTATTTTTCTTCTATGTCTTAATTTACTTTTATTTATATTTTCTCTTTATGCATTTATACAACACCATGTCAATTCCTCTTCCAACTATTATGGGCAATGGTTCAAAAAGCACCAATGTTCCCATTTGTTTGTTTAACATATAAAATGATTCCACTAACCCTGGTTAGCTGTGTAGGTAGGTATGATCTGGGAATGAAATTAGCTTGTGTTTACAATTCTTGTTAGTCAACATTTCCAATAACTTGAATGATGCACATAGCAGATCAAGAAGGCATTCTTTTTCTGGATGATATGAGTAGGGGGAGCATCCAATACACATGTAGGAAGGAGATGAGACAAACACACTTGCTCTCCAAATGAATAATTTCATGCCTTACATCCCTATATACTTTCTCTGTTATTTATAACTCACTATCAGCACTTAACTCCTAGAAGAAATAGCCCTTTTATTCAATCCCAATTTTCTCAGCCTAGGATTCCTTCAACTCTGTGTGATGCAGAGAGAATACAGTGAAAAAGAATGCTGTCTTGATTGAGAGATGTGAGGCTATGTAACAAAATTGAATTATTGCTAGAAAACGTCAAATTCATAATAACTTGGCTGGATGGTGCAGTGTTAATGCAATAGTTGTTTTTTCCAAGCATGCTTTACACACCAGGGGAATTGTTCGTTTCCTATTGTGTAAACACAGTAAAACACCTACATACCTGGCATACCTCCCAGGCTGTACTTCGGACTTAACAGGTGTTTTGCAGACCAAGGAAGAGAAACTTGCGGAGAACCTGCCTGTTTCTGGCCTTGTCTATGCTACAGGGGAAACTGGATCTAAGCTACACAATTTGAGTTATGTAAATACCATAACTCAAATCGACATAGCTTAGATCTACTTACCGCGGAGTCCACACTACGCGATGTCAATGGGGGATGTTCTCCCATCGACTCCCCCTACTCTGTACTTCACCAGATTGAGAAGGAGTCAGGAGAGCGATGTGCGGTCGATGCATCCATTGCCGCTTGTCAATCCCCTGGTAAGTATAGACAAGCCCTTAGCCAGCTCCAAAGGAGTTTAAAACGGTTGCTCCATTTATATGTCTGGTACAAATGAGGCATGGCTGCCTTTTTCTGCTAATGCACTATCCTGAGAACACTCCACCCAAATAGAAGCTTTCACAGAGCCATTACAGAGATGATACAAGTAACTGGTCATTGGTGAATTACAAGCTAACTAAAGGGAAACTGTCAACTTCACAAAATCACAACTTTCTGGAAATTGTGTATCAACTGCTGTTACAAGTAATATTTTATACTGTGGTAACTGAAAACAATGAGAAGAATATTATACTTGTTTCTGTTTACTTTGTGCAATTGATAGTACTTTTTATACGCTCTGCCCGCTGCTTCCTCTGTACAACTAATCAGTTATGCCCTGATCCTGCAAACACTTAAACATATGCCTAACTTTGTGTATGAGTAGTCCTGTTGATTTCAGTGGCACTATTTGTACTAAGGGTAGAAGAGTGAGTAATCTTTTAGATTGCAGGAAAAAGGTAAAAATACTTCAATGGTGACCATCATACATAAAATTCTGCATGCTATAATTTTTGAAGTCATCCTGTTATGGAAGACAGCAGTACACAAATACAGTACATATTAGAACATTGTGTAGCAGGCGGTGTTTATTTAGAGCTATGAACAATGGACACTTTTTTATAAATAACTTATTCGGCCTGCATAAAGATTTTGCAGCAGCTCCAGTGGTCTAAGTTCTAAGGGGAAAGGGAAACTTAAAAAAATTTGAACATTTCAATAGTAGAAGTTGTAGCCATAATGCTGAGCAGGTTGTGAAATGTTATGAGACAGAATAAGATGGGGTAATTTCCAAAGATTGTTAACCAAATATCTGGTTATTGACAACTATAATGGTGGATTGTTACGATAACTGTCGTTAATTACATGGTAAAAAATTAGATTTGTTCAAGTGATTTGACATGTTCATTCCACTGAAGGTGCATGTGTGCCTCATGGACAGTTGGAGATTGTTCCTTCAGCAGTGCCCATTGGGGCAGCGGGAGTGCCCTCTGCTATCTCAGCACCACTGTATGCAGGTATAAAGGGCAGAGCTGTCCCCAACTCCCCCCAGTTCCTTCCTACTGCCATTCACAGTTGTTGAAGCTGCTATCCTTGCATGTACAAGTTCTGCCCTCTTTAGTGTAAATGGTACTTGTTCTGTTAGTTTTAGGCTAGTTTAATGTTTTTGTACATTGTTTTAGATACAAGATTATGTATAGCTTAGTACTTAGTAGCTTGGATTTTCTGGTTCCTGTTTTGGTACTGATACTGGACTTATGCCTTGTTCCCCAGACTTCATGTCCTGTCACTCATATAACAAGTCCATGCCAGTGAGTGACCCACACCCAGCAGCCTTAAATGTCTGGGGAGGTGCATGTGAGTGACACATGTCATATTTGTGGAGGGATCAAACCTCTGCCAAAGAAAGAGAGGGCAGCCATACTGAAGTATTTACTGATGGAGTCTTCGCTCCCCCTGCCACCATCAGATCCTTCTTGTTTGGAGTAGGTACCAAGCACATCCACATCTGTTAGGTGTGCTCCTCCTGATCTGAGTTGAGAGGCAGATCTTGTTGCTAGTACTGAAGAAGAGACAGTATAAGTCTCCTAAGGACTCAGTACTGGAGTCCTCAAAATCTTCAGTGCACGCACCAAGTGGAGGCAAGGACATAGAGGTGCACTCAAAGAAGCAGCATTCAGGGACAGTCCTCAAGCCAAGAGGGTTCGTTGACTAGGATGGGCCTACGGAGACCAATCCCTGAAGTACCAAGTTCAACAATTTACAAGCTGTGTCATATGCTTCAGGTGTAGATGAAACCCGTAAAAGCTCTTGGCTATGTGGTACTGAGAGCTGCACTAATGGCAACGTGGTCACTACTTAGAATTGCAAGCCAGCAGATAGGTATGATTTTAGTCTGTGGGATAATGTCTTAAAATTTAATGACAGGCTTCTGGACAATGTAAAGCAGGAGTTCACAGCTGTGGTGGAGGAGGGTAATTCAGTTGCCAGAACAGCCTTGCAGGCAAGTGTAGATGCAGGGGACTCTTTGGCAAAAACTATGGTTCCACCATCACTATGCTGTGCTCTTCATGGCTGCAGTCATCAGGTCTTCCCCCAAAAGGTTCAACAAACCATCCAGGACCTCCAATTCAAAGGCCCCTTTCTCTTTTCCAAAAAGAGGCTACATGTCTTAAGGATTCTGGGGCATCCCTTAAGTCTCTGGAAATTTATATACCAGCAACAAAAAGAGAGCTGTTCCAGCTGCAGCAGTCCCAACAGTTTCCACCTTTCATGCCTCGTACTCAGGACCAGTCCAGAAAGAGGAGGATGTGATGGGTTGGATCACAGGAACCCCCTTAGGACTGCCACCTGATGTGCTTTGACTACCTCTGAGTCTGTGTTCCCTGCTAGCTTTGAGCCAGACACGCTTGCCTGTTGCAAACACAGCCCCAGGTCTGAACCACGTCCCCCAACAGCTTCAGGCTTAACTGAAAACAGCTTAAGAAGTGTTCCTGTCTCTAACACTCAGATGTCCAGCTCCCAATGGGGTCCAAACCCCAAATAAATCCGTTTTACCCTGTATAAAGCTTATACAGGAAAACTCAAATTGTTCGCCCTCTATAACACTGATAGAAAGATATGCACAGCTGTTTGCGCCCTGGTATTAATAGGTACTCTGGGTTAATTAAGTAAAAAGTGATTTTATTAACTACAAAAAGTAGGATTTAAGTGGTTCCAAGTAATAACAGACAGAACAAACTAAATTACCAAACAAAATAAAATAAACAAGTCTATGCCTAATACAGTAAGAAAACTGAATACAGATAAAAATCTTACCCTCAGAGATGTTTCAATAAGCTGCTATCACAGACTGGACACCTTCCTCGTCTGGGCACAATTCTTTCCCCTGGTACAGCCCTTGTTCCAGCTCAGGTGGTAGCTAGGGGATTTCTCATGACTGCAGAATGTTCTGTTCCACCCCCTCATATATCTTTGGCACAAGGAGGAAATCTTTTGGGTCTCTGGGTCCCCGCCCCTCTTTCTAAATGGAAAAGCACCAGGTTTAAGATGGATTTCAGTACCATGTGACATAGTCACATGTTCTGTGAGATCCCAAGCCTTCATTCCTCCCAGCCTGACTCACAGGAAGGCCTGCAAGCAAACAGAGCCATCCACAGTCAACTGTCCTGGTTGATGGGAGCCATCAAGATTCCAAACCACCATTAATGGCCCACACTTTGCGTAACTACAGTAGGCCCTCAGAGTTATGTTTCATATTTCTAGTTTCAGACACAAGATAGATACATACAAATAGGTTGACTACACTCAGTAGATTATAAGCTTTGTAATGATACCTTACAAGAGACCTTTTGCATGAAGCATATTCCAGTTACATTATATTCACACATTAGCATATTTTCATAAAATCATATAGAGTGCAACGTCACAGAGGAGACGTTACAAGAGGCGTACACCACCTCCCTTCTATTCTGCAGCTACTGGTTCATCTCAGCAAGCTGAGCCCTCTAAACAAACATTTTGACCATGTAATAGTGGTAACAATAGTAATATAAATGGTCACCTTTCTTATACACATCATCACACCTGCGAGTTCCATCATAGTCTACCTAGCAATTATCTCAGTTTCCACCCTTCCATGGATAACTGCTTGCTTTTTTCCCCAGTTCTATGCCTATCACATTTCTGAAGGGTATGGACAGGTTATATTTACAGGTACACAGCCCTGTCCCTGGTGGAACTTAAATTTAGTTCTAGCGAAGTTCCTGGGTCTGTGCTTTGAGATACTTGTTCTCTGTTACACCTTTCTGTGAAGGTGGCTTTTTTGGTTGCTATTACCTCGACCAGGAGAGTGGGAGAATTGCAAGCCTCAGTATCAGAACCTCCCAATACAATCTTCTTTAGAGACAAGTGTGAAAGTTCCTCCTCTGCCTTGGTGGGTCCTGCGCTTATTGGCGGATTTGCTCGACTCAGAGGTTCATGGCAGCCCTCAGTTTGGCCACTTTTCTGGCTCAAATCTGCCGTTCATTCAGTTAGCCTCATCACTGGCCAGCATGGGGAAAAGGAAGGAGAGCAAGTCTCTGCTGATCCACCTAGTGGATCGGGGAACAGGCCAGAGACCTTCCTCTCTGGTGGAACCCACAGTCCAGGTCAACTCCTCCAGTATCAAGTAGGGAGTTGGAGGGATGGGGGGAACCCGGGGCCACCCTCTACTCCAGGTTCCAGCCCAGGGCCCTGTGGATTGCAGCTGTCTACAGTGGCTCCTGTAACAGTTGCATGATAGCCACAACTCCCTGGGCTACTTCCCCATGGCCTCCTCCCAACACTTTCTTTATTCCTCCTGATGTCTGATAATGCTTGTACTTCTCAGTCTTCCAGTAGTACGCCTTCTCACTCTCAGCTTCTTGCACCTCTTACTCCCAGCTCCTCACACACACACCACAAACTGAAGCGAGCTCCTATTTTAAAATCCCAGGTGCCCTGATTAGCCTGCCTGTCGTAATTGATTCTGGCAGCTTCTTGATTGGCTGCAGGTGTTCTAATCAGCCTGTCTGCGTTAATTGTTTCCAGAAAGTTCCTGATTGTTCTGGAACCTTCCCTGTTACCTTACCCAGGGAAAAGGGACCTATTTAGCCTGCTCTCCTGCTGCTGCCCTTTGGCCTGGGCTTTCCTTGCTTTTTGCCCCTGCTTTCGGCTTCCCCCGGCCGGGCCAGACACTCTCCCCCCTTTCTTTTCTTGTTGTTTTTTTTTCTTTCTCTGCTGTTGCTAGAGTGCTGGCCAGCTGCCGGCCGGCTGTTAGGGCCCCCCCCCCCCGCCCGCCCTTGGACGCTGCTGCTGCTCCAGCTGAAACCCCCCCCCCCCCGAGAGAGGGGGGGCCTGCCGGCCTGCTTCCCCAGAGGTGGGGAGTGGAAGGACCCAGCCCCCAGATCCAGCCGCTTGCTGTTTGTCTGCGGACCCGTCTCCGGTCGAGAGGAGTCTTATCACTTGCTCCGGCATTTCTGGAATGCAAAAAAGAAAACCCGGAACAGACAGAGAAAAAGCTGTCCACCAGAGGAACACCGCCTGGGGAATCTACAAATCGCCGTGGAGGGGGCCTAAGACTGAGTAACTTTCGAACTGTGCTCTTGTGTGGGGGGAGGCCTTGACTGTGTCTTAACTGTGTTTGTAGGGGCACAGGGGGTGTGGAACGGAGCTGCCCCCCAATCCATCTGTGTCCTCCCAACCCCCACACTACGATCTTCACCCCCCCCCCCCATTCCACCATCTT